ATTGTCGGCAGCGCCCTTGTCGTCTTTCCACGATGTGCTCACAGGACCACGCCACCTGTGCTTGTGTGCGCTGCCAGGTCGTCAACTGCGTGGGCCTGCTCAATTACAAGTTCTTCCTCCAATTCCTGTTCTACACTTTGCTGGCCTCTTGCCTGGCTATCGCGCTGATGGTCCAGCCTATGGTGGCGTTTGTCACAGGAACAGATTTTACTGGGTGGGTGGGGCTGGGACCCTGAGAGGAGGTGTGCCCGGCGGCTGCTGGGGTGGGGAGGCCGGGGTAGGGTGGTACATCCACGGACTGCTGAGAGCAGTTCCGGGCAATATCTTTCGACATTGAATCGCACGTCATTCTGGACTCAGCTGCAAGCCATCACTCGGCGTCTGTTTTACGCTCCCTCGACTCAATTCCGGCCGTGCTGTGCGCCGTGCAACGCAGCGCCCCGGGGCCGTTCATTGTGGTGGTGATGGACGGCGCCTTCGCCGCGGCGCTGATAGGGTTCCTAGGCATGCACTGGCAGCTGCTGGCGCACGGCTGCACCACCATAGGTGAGCCAGCGCAATTTGGCCCCTTGGAGCCAACTGGGAAGGAGACGGGGCGCGATGCCGGCGACGCTCTTCTTGCGGCCGCAGCGTGGCTGCTCACACCGTAAGCGCGGCTGCTTGCTCTGGCAAGTGCCTCACGTCCCACCCGCCAGCTGTCATCGAGATTGACCGCGCTGCCCCTGGCCCTTTCTCATGACCGTGCGCGCCCCTCCCCTGATCAATACGTTTGCGCTGACCAGAGATGTACGAGAAGGAGCGCGCCAACCCTTGGCCTTACGACCGCGGCTTCCGGCGGAATTTCGAAGACGTCATGGGCCGCAGGTGCGGGGCCCAGGGGCCCGCCGCGCCCCGCCGCGCCCGGCACATGCCTGGGCCTCGCCCCCTCCCTGCGAGCGCCTTGCACAGCTGCTGGGTGGGCCCAAAACCAGCGCTGCCTTGCACACGATGAACCCTCTGTGTTACCGCCTGCTTGCATGTAAACATGCACCACGCTTGGCTGTCCTACCCAAGTCCAGAAACATAGCACAAAACCATGCCCTCCCTGCCTTGCACCTGTGCCCACCACCACTTAATGCTTGTACATGGCCTGGCCTCTGCAGCAAGCTGTCGTGGTTCCTGCCACGCCACACCCCGGACGAGCGGCAGCGGCTCCTGCAGTCGTGCCTCGGGCAGCGGTTGCTGACCAGCGGCAGCGAGGGGGCTGTTTGAATGTTTGGGATGGCCGTATGATTGTGAGCTGTTCATCTGTAGATAGGCTGGGGTCTGTGTGCAGCTTGTTTTCTGGTGATTGCTTTGGTTACTTTCCAATCAACGGTCTGGGGCAGCACTGGACAGGGGGCCCGCAGAAGGGTCTGTTGTGGCTGTGGCTGTCTCTTTTCTGCCTCGCTCATGCCACGTGGTTGCCTGCTGCTGCTTTCCGGGTTGTGCAGCGCCCGGAACTTGTGGGTTGAGCTCGGGCGTGCGGGTTTCAAGGCAGCGCAAGAGGCTTTGGGGAAGCGGGACGGAGCAGCACACCGGTGACATCATGCAGCTGCGACGCGTCAGCTTAGTCACGTGCGTGCAGCCACGCTTCGTGACGAGCGGGTGCCTCAGGCTGCACACTCAGCCGACACGTCAGGCCTCCGGTGAGTGCACATCTCGATTTGAAACCCTCAGCGCATGTGCTTATTGTGGACTGAGGGGAGCCATCTGAGTTGTAGTAGACAAGAGACACTGCTGCCTTGGCACACGCAGTTCTCGGGCGCGGCGCCGCTGCGCCGGCACATGCATCATGTCGACTCGCGAAGAGGCGCCTTTGCTACATGATGCAGATCCGCATGGGCAGCACTACCAGGCAGACATGATTCTGGATGCTGCACACGACGCAGCTGGGGCGATGTCACATGAAGAGCACGGCGGGATCAGCGGCGAGGAGCGCGTCGAGCAGCATGTGCACGTTGCCATCATCGGTGGTGGTTTATCAGGACTCTGCTGCGCCCTTGCCTTGACTGTAGCTGACCCACGGCTGCGCGTTACGGTACGCGAGTTCCGAGATCGATCGCACACTCGCCCATGTCCTTCGGGACTTTCTTTTTACATGATCAGCTGATGATTTATTGCTCGGCCTGCAGGTCCTGGAATGCCGGCCGGCGCCAGGGGATCCGATTGGCGGCGCTCTGCGCCTGCAGGTGCGTGGAGCGTCTTGTGTGACCTCGACTGCATTGCGTTGCAGCATGCAGGTGTGGCGCCGCCAGTCTGGCTGCCTCTGCGGCGCATGCAGGACCACAGTGGCACCTCTTTGCCAGCTGCGCAAACCTCAACTGTCAATCTGCCAGCCGTACCGTACCCAGGGCGGTTTGCACCCTTGCGGGGTCGTCGGCCGGCGTCCTGTCGCACCCCATGCGTATGCACAATGCTGGCAAACCACCACCGCAGCCCAACGCGCTGACTGCGGCAGCAGCGATCTGCCCGCGTCTGCGGGACAGCATCCTGAGCCGCGCCGCCATCGCCGAGCAGATCCTCCTGCATGACACAGACGGTGCGAATGTTTCGAAACCAGGCCACAGCTGATTGGGTCTCGAATGCATATGAGAGGGCAAGCGTGCTGGGTTTGCCAGATTGGAGGACAGGGCGCGGCCTGATGCATCATGACGCGGGAGCGCGGGAGGCTCACAACGCCCTTGTGGGGATGGCCTCATTGGTTGTGGCATCCGCCTCAATCGCCCCATACCGCTACTCACGCCCCCCCCCCCCC